TGGGGCTCCGTGCTCACTCAAGAAGGGAGAGCAGCCCAGAGCCCCGAGCAGGGGCTGAGCACTGCTTAAGTACACTTTTTGGGGCGGGCGGGGACTTGACATACATCACAGTCTCCTTTAACAAATCATCATACACCGCGGGAAAATCAAACAACAACTCCTAAACATGATTAGTTCATTCATTGGCGGGAACAGGTCGGGCGGGAGTGATAGGTCAGTTCTAAGGGGGGAGGTACATTCAAACTGATTGGTTTAGGCCCTGCGATGTCTACATGCAAAGTCACACAGGGTCCTAGGTTATCAAACAACCGGTCGGTCAGGGGAAATATTTACTGGGCGGTTCCAAGTATTGTCTTAACAGCTACAGGAATTTCAGGTTTTACGTGTAGCATAGGAACTTAACAATACCTGGTCCTTTACATTTTAACTCAGGCCTTGCAGCTTAGAAACTTTACAATGCCCGGTCTTTTACACTTTAACTTCAATTTCTTTTACCCTTACAATGCCACTATTCAGGCAAGAACAATTTTATCTGAAACCCAGGACAGCTGACATTGCAGGGTATGCCTTTTTTTTTTTTTTTTTTTTTTGGTACCAGGGATTGAACTCAGGGGCACTCAACCCCTGAAGCCACATCCCATTCCTATTTTGTGTTCTATTTAGAGACAAGGTCTCACCGAGTTGCTTAGCGGCTCGTTTTTGCTGAGGCTGGCTTTGAACTCACAATCCTCCTGCCTCAGCCTCCTGCACCAATGGGATTACAAGCATGCACCACCACACCCAGCACGCCAAATATTTACGTGTAGAAAACTAGTGCACTTAGCACACTCATAATTAAATAATATGGCTAATCACAAGATAATTACAGCCCTTATTTAAAATATTAAATAATGCTTTCAAAGTGTGGTGTAGTAATGAGACAAAAGGTTAAGTTTTTGTGGCATCATTTTCTTTCTATCCTGTCCATGATTTCTGACACTCTATGTTTAACTTTGACATCAGAAATCTGACATTCGGGGCTATCTGTCATGTGAGTTCTGGGCCAAAATGCTTTCTAGGCCCAAATTCTGAGGGGCACAGATTCACCCCTGCCTCTGCCACTGGATCACAAGACTCTTGAGAATAGAATTTGTGTAATGCTCCTCTGCACCTCCAACATCTAGACTTTTAAAATGGGTGGGTGGATGGATGGATGAAGCTCTCAGAATGATTGCTGCAGTGCCAAGGAGTTAGTAGCTACGCTTTTCTACACCAAAGATGGCGGGTTGCCAGAGAATCGCTTTGGAGACAGATGTAAAAATTAAGACTGTGCATTCAGTAATTCAAGCAGTCTTGAAATTAGATTTGATGAGGCTTTTGAGAAATCAGGATTCTACATCCCATTTCCTACATCTTAGGACTGGAAGGAATCTTGGTGCCCATGTTCTGTTTTATAGAACAGAAGAGGAAAGAATGTGAGGAGGGTTAGGTGATTGGCCTGAGTTCTAAGTGCCTGAGTCAGAGCAGAGCCCAGGCTCCTGACTCCCAGACCAGCGCCAATGTCCACCCAGCCACGCCTGATAAAAAGACGTGTAACAGGAGTCAGACACAATCACCCTGTGATCCAGCAACTCTAGTTTAAAACAAAGATGATTAATTACTCATTCATGTTGGAGCAGCATTAATCACAAAGCCAAAAGGTAGAAAGAAACCACCCAATTGTGCATCAAATGATAAATGAACAAGAAAAATATGACATATACATACAGTACAGTGTTATTCAGCCTTAAAAAGGAATGAAGTTGCAGCACATGTTATAATATAGTCAAACCTTGGAAACATCATGCTAAGTGAAATAAGAGCGAATGTACCATTCCACTTACCTAAAGTATCAGAATCCATTGAGAGGCAAAATAGAAAGGCTGCTCCAGGAGCTGAGGGGAGGGGAGGAGGAAGTAAGTGTCCCATGGGCATATGGTTTCAGTGTAGGATGGTGGAATGTTCTGGAAACAGAAGCTGGTGATGGCTGCACAACATTATGAATATACTTAATGCCACAGAAGTGTCCAATGGAAAAAATGGTTAAAGTGGTAAATTTTATGCAGTGTGTATTTTGCCACAAAAAAAAATACTAAAAGCAAAAATACTTCTGACAAATGGAGAAGAGGGTTCTGCCTAACAATTTGATTTCACCCAAATTTAAGAAGGTCTCCAGTTGAACATTTTAATGTGTGTTTTTTTTTTTTGGAGGGGGGTTGTTTTGATACTAGGAATTTAACCCAGGGGTGCTTAACCACTGAACCATATTAACCGGGCCATTTTATTTTTTTACTTTGAAACAGAGTGGTCTTGATAAATTGCTAAGGCTGGCCTAGAACTTGCGATCCTCAGCCTCCCAAACCACTGGGATTACAGGGATGCACCACCATACCTGGCTCAACCTGTTCTTTGTTCTGAAGGGTAATGTTTCCCTTAGCAAAACTCCTTAAAGAGAAACTCAGGCACCCAAATGTGTCTGCCTCTTGCTGGGTGTTCAGTAAACACACAGCAGGTTTTTTGTTTTGTTTTGTTTTGTTTTTTGTTAATTCAAAGAAGGCCCAAAGCCCAGTCTGGGATGAGGATGGAGTGACATAGATTTTCAGTCTTGCCTTGGTAATTAGAGGAAAAGAGAGTGGAGGAAAGAAGTATGGAGGGTGATTTAAAGAGGAGATAGAGAAAGAGGAAACACACGGGAAGCTGAAGTTGAGGGAGGACGCTGGTGAGTGGCTTGGGATAGGGGAGTCCCTGTGCTGGGACTGGATACACCTCCGTCCAAGAGGAGATATCCAGAATACACAGCTAGGGATGGGCACAGGGTCATCAACTCCAGGGACCTTCCCAGAAGTCAATTTGAGGATGCTCACCACCCTATTTTATATGAAGTGCGGACACCAGCCATGTGGCTTTCATATTAGAGAACAGGTTGGGAGACACCGAAAGACCTGCAGACGTTCAATATGCTCCCCTCCCGCAGCTCTACCTCCAAATATTGAATCAAACAAACTGAAAACATTCACCAAAAACTGCATCTATGCTGAACACGAACACAGTTTTTTCCTTGTCACAAGTCCCTAAACTATTCGGTACAACAGCCATCTATCTACACAGCATTTCCATGGTATTAGATATGATAAGTGATCTAGAAGAGATTTGAAGTAGACAAGCAGATGTGTATAGGTTCATGCAAATCTTAGGCCACATTATGCCAGGGACTTGAACAGTGGCAGATTTGGGCATTCATGGGGGGTGGGGCATGGAACCAATCCCCCTCCATCACATCCACAGCCCAGTTGTCCCAGGGCAGTGGGACAGTTTCTGAGAGATGGAAGAAAATACCTGGAGACAGCATAGGAGGCAGAAGGGTTTGTTGAGATGGTCTACTGCAACAGGCTGGCAGGTCCCTCACTGCTTTGCCACTCAGCATCTCCTGCCCACCTCAGGTATGCTGTCTGGTGACAGCCGGTTGAGTGACAGGTATCCTTTCCATGGTACCCTCAGTTCCACTCTAGTCACCACTGAGAGAGGGGTGTTAGATGCTCGGTTGCAGCACTCATCCGCGTTAGCTTGCTTAGTTTGCTGGGACAGTTCCCCAGGAGCAACTGTCCGGGCGTACATGCAAGAAAGTAGCTTTCTACAGATGACAGTGGCTTGCCCCCGTCTCCACGGTGCATGAGAGAAAGCCAGCCCTTCAAGATGTATGTCTCTGGACTTTCCATCCCAGCCTTGTTCTCACTGTTCCTTAGCTTGACACCTTAGAAGACACCTGGGCTAGGTGTCTGGGAGCAGGAAGGGAGTCTTCAAGGACATGGCGTTTCATTGTCCTGCTTTTCTTTGAGGATGATGCACCCTCTGATACTGAGGGATGCCTGTGGGTTTTTTTTTTTTGTGTGTGTGTGTGTGTCCTGGTGTGCATGTGTATGTAGACATATCTTACTGGCTTTAGAAAGGATGTCTAGAGAAATTATGCTCTTTGATTTTTCTTCTGAAGAACTACATAGTGCATTAAATTATCATTTTCCACACATCCTCATAGGATTTCCCGCAGTTAGACTACCATAATTTCTAATCAGCGCTATTTGTTAATGGTTCAGTGATGGTCCATCCCTACCAACCACATCAACAAGGCACAGCTCCCTCATAGCACATTGTCCTCTCCCTGCAACTTTTATTAAAGAAAAAATGTCCACCCATTAAATGTTAGTTTTGTGAAGTCAGTTATCTCCAGTGGAGAGTGGCACAACTTCACAGGTTAGTGTTCCTTAGAATCAACTACAGAGGTAATTCTTGTCAAGATGCAGATTCCTGGGCTCCAACACTAAGAGATTCCTACTTATACTGTTTCAGGTGGCCCTAGAATCTGTGTTAATAACCTAAATTTTCATATCACTAGGAGATAGGAAGCTGTTGGTCTCTGGGCCATCTTTGGAGAAATGTGTCCTAGAGAGACTTTATTTTTCTTGTGGTTTTCAGAGGTACAAGGTAGAAACACCCCAACAAGACTCTGAATGGCGGGGTGAAGAAAGAAGGAAATGGAGTCACATTAGAATTAATAAACTCCTTCCCAAACCAGCCGGACCTGGCAAACGAGGCTGTTATGAACTGAAGTGTTTCCCCCCGAAATTCACATGTTGAAGTTCCAATACCCAGTACCTTGGAAAGTGACTGTATCTGGAGACAGGGCTTGTAAAGAGGTGATTAGCTTAAAATGAGTCTTTTAGGGTGGCCCCCATCCTCATAAGAAAATGGACACAAAATGAGATGCCACAGACACAGAAAAAAGACCACATGAGGACACAGTAAGAAGACTGTCAGCTGCAAGCCACGGAGACGGAGGAAACCAGACTGGCCAACAGACCTCTTCGTCTCAGACTCGGGGCCATCAGCACTGTGAGGAAGTGCACTTCTGTGGGTGACGCCCAGCCTGTGGCACTTGCTCTCATGGTCCCAGCAAACCAACAACAAGCAGGAGCAGTTCTTCCTACCTGCCTCCGAGTCGGCTCCCCGTCTGCAGAGGTGGCCCCACTGTGAGGTCTTTGGTTTTCCATGTAGGGTGCCAGAAACCAGGGCTGAGACACCCACTAATGTTCACTGAGGGACAAAGAGCGGGCTTGGAGGGAACTGAAGATCATCAACGACTGAGATGACACAGTTGTGTCAGTTAAGATGGGAGGATAAGCCCTCCCTCATGGGAATGAGGGCAGAGGGTGGACACCAGAGGCCTCGACTCTCGACTCCTGGATCTCGGAGGCTGGCTCAGCTTGTTCAACCAGATTCATCTGTAGTTACACATAGCAGCTCTTCTGACAAACCTCATCAAAATTCCTCAAGTATTCCATGTGATGGGCTGTCCAGCAACAGACCCCACTGAGGGGTAGAGCTGATAGATTTATTTACAGTTTTATTGCAAAAAATTTGAGTTGTAATCCTTTTCTACTCATTTAGAAATCTACTGCTTCACGTTTGCCAAGTCTGACAACATTCTGGCAGGTATTATGAAAAGTAGTGGAAAGATATTAGCTTCATTAGATTAATTGCCTGCTGCACTTGTCTAGAGACTTGCTCCAGCTGTATCTTCCTTATCTTCTCATCTCTTTCCCTCCGGGGTTTATTGTGGGTGGCATTTCCAAGATGATAGGACACGGAGAGTGGGAGAGAAAAGTGGTTGCTGAGACTGTGTCACTCTGGAGACTTCTGCCTAAGCTTTTTCCCTCCTCCTACACTTCCAAGAGAGCCAGAGTCACTACTGGGAGAGAAATAGGGCTTCAAGGAAGGCTGATCTGGGGTGGAAGTGAATGAAGGAGGGAAGGTATAGGAAGAATGGGATGAGAGATGGGAAGTAGAATAGGAAGAGGCATTTAAAGAGAAGATGTCAAATGTTCAAGTGTGTCTTCCCCAACAGCACATTGAAATCCTTACTCCCCGGTGCCTGAGAATGAGACCTTTGAAGATAGAGTCTTTGTAGATGTAACCCAGTAAGATGAAGTCACTAGAGTGGGCTGTAAGCCAATAAGTCAGTGTCCTCATAAGAAGAGGAAAATTTGGACAGAGACATGGAGGGAAGATGCTGTGAAGACAGAGGTAGAGATTCGAGTGAGGGGGCCACAAGCCAAGGAATGCCAGCGTCTGCCAGAAGCTAGAGCAGGAAGGGAAGGATCCTCCCCCAGAGGCTTCCAAAGGAGCAAGGCCCTGCCAACATCTTGAGCTCAGACTTGGGGCCTCTGGGTCTGAGAGAGAGTGTCACTTGTAGTTTTAAGACTTAGCCTATGGTCCTGGGGTGTGGTGGTCCTAGAAAACTAACGCAAGGAGAGCTTGAAGAGCTGAAGGAAGACCCTCGAGGCAACATACTTCTCTATTCCAGACACCTGGGAGGCACTCAGGAAACATGTCTGAAGTCATAAACTAGAACGACAGTCACTGCTACGTCTGTAATATGTTGAGAACAAAGGAGGAGAGGAAACGAAGCGTCAATCAATGTCATACAGTTTTTATGTCTTGCTTCTTGGCTAGATCAATATCTTGCAGAAAATACAGAGTTAACTGATGTGTGCATGAACCGATTGATTTATTTCCTGAGTTACCTACACTTGATTGTGGTCTTGGGGTGCACAGTTCTGCAGTGAGGTCATTTGTTTTGTTTTGTTTGGAGTTGGAACCATTATTGGTCTATACCCTCATGGTATATAAAAGAAGGCGGGGAAGGAGGCAGGAAGGAAGGAACCTAGAGAAAGAGAAGGGGAGAGGAAGGAAGAGGTTTCTGCTATGAATGGTGAGAGCAGCCCCTGCGAGGTTCATGGATAGAGAAGCTCCCCCCTTCAGTTCTCCTGAGAGAGGGTGGACTTTGTTTAGGATTCCTTGGTAAGTTCAGGCCCACTAGCCATCTGCGTCTGCAAGCATAAAGGTTTCAGGGTGGGGAAGGATGTTTTTAAGGAGGCCAGAGCAGAATTTGTCTAGTTGGCTCCTGAAGAGAAGTGGCAGTGTGCAGGGCCAGGACAGGAGGAGGGGAGAGAGGGGCCCTGTGAGGAGCCAGCAAGAGGGAGATGTAGGTGGAGGGGAAGGGGGCTGGGCATCTCTTCAGAGATGTGTTCTACTAGATTCCATCACAGTCACACTTGCCGCATAATTTCTTTTGCTGGTTCTGAAGACGGCCAGGAGCTCAACTGAAGTCTCCAAACCCACAAGTCGATTCAATTTTTGGTTTGGTTTAGTTTCCCACAGTATCACAGGCCGCAGAAGTTATAAACAGCTGGCACTCGCCTCATCTGGAAGATCCAAGATGACTCGTTCCCATGACTGGCAGGGACTATGCCAGCTGGCTGGGAGCTCAGGTGGTGCCACATCACATTGCATCTCAGTCCTGTGACTGGGTTTCAGGGGGCAGCAGCCCAAGGACGAGCATCCTAACAGAGGACATGGAAGGGTCCAGTCCTAAGAAAACTGGCTCTGATTAATTTCCATTGCATCCCATTAGGTAAGCAGCAGCCTGGCCAGGCTAGACTCAAGGGGAGGGGAAATAACCTCCCTCTTCTCAACAGGAGGATGAAAGGATTTATTGCCATCCATCCTCAACCAGGGGCAACTGCTGGGGCTTTAGAAATGGAAGTCTTCTGTGCCTATTAAAATTGTTTGCTTTGCTTCAAGATAAAATCATCTCCAGTCTTGTTCAGGACTATACATTGTTTAGCAGAGCCCTGGGTAGGGGGAATTTTTTTTTTTAATCCAAACGAATATTGACTTTTATCTCTGGTTTTTAATGTGGACTAAAATAGAAACAGAGGGAAAAGATGCAGAAAAGAGGACTATGTAGACTGGTGTCCTGATAAGTCCACAGACGTTAATACTTTCTCTAACATTAGTACATAAATAAACACAAAAATAGTGTGGTCCTCAGTTATTACAGAAGTACCCATCATAAATAATAAAAATAGAAATATTTAAAACCAGAGAATGTTAGGGAATGTAGAGCGTGCATGGTGATATACATGTTAATTTAAAATTCTCTAGTGTTTTTTTTTAATCTTTTTGAAAACAAAATTAAGCTATTCGTATCTCTCTGTATGTTATAGGGACAAAATCTGTTTTGGCAAAGTATTAAGAAATGGGCTTCTATGGATTGTTGAAGAAAATAGAAATGGGTATACCCTTTACTGAAATGTTTTACAAATGTTCACATATTTTTAGTCAGCGCTCCCCTTTGAAGACCTTGGCTTGAGATGATAATTACAAAATGGAGGCACAAAGATGTCCAGCATTGTTTATAATGATGAAAAATCAAAAGCAACCTAATTGGCCCTTGATAGGCAACTAATTACATTAATTATATTGTGGACAATGTGATAATCTCCAGCCATCATAAGTGACTTCTAAATGTAGGTTTATAAAAATGAAAATGTGTTCATGACAGAGCATTAAAGGATAATATTGGTTGCAGATAGTGTGTGTGTGTGTGTGTGTGTGTAAAATTGTACACAAACCTTTAAATGTGTCTATGAGCACTCATGTGGTCATCACAGAGAGGTAGGATTTCTAGCGCCTTCTCTCTTTATGCTCATAACAAATAGCATTTTGAAATATAAAGCTTCTATAGTTTGGATCTGGAACATCCCCAAGGGCCCATGTGTTAAAGGATTGGGGATGGCACCACTGGGATGTGGTAGAACCTTTAAAAGGGACTAGTGGGAGATCTTCCAGTCATGGGGCTGTACCTTGAGGGAGATTGTGGGACACGGGTGTCCCCCTCCCTTTCATCTTCCAGCCAGGAGGTGAATGGCTACCCTGTGCCACATCGCCCCCCATGATGTGCTGCCACACAACCAGAAGCCTAGAAGCAATGGGCTCATCCAGTCACGGAGTGGAACCTTCACAACTACGAGCCAAACAATCCTTCTCCTTTATCAGCTATTTCAATGTATTTTGCAACAGTAACGGAAAGCTGACCACACAAAAGCTCATTCTGAAGGCAGCTACCAAAACAGTAACAATAGCAGCATCTGCAACAACTCAAAATTAAAGCTAGGACTTCTGTGTATCAGCCATGTGGGAAAGATGACAGGTATCTCTGCATTTTATAAAACAAATGTCATAAAGAATAATAGCCAGTGTATTTGGGAAAACACCAAAAGAAAAACAGAATTTGTTGTATCACTTCCTTGGAGTGAGATCGTTCTAACCAATATTTGTCAATGTTTTTCAAAAAAATAAGAATAACAGGCCTTATGTACACAGGCCACACCCCTGTAATCCCAGTGACTGGGGAGGCTGAGGCAGGAGGATTGCAAGTTCTAGGCCAGCCTCAGCAACTTAGCAAGATCCTGTCTCAAAACAAAAAAATTAAAGAGACTGGTGTTTTAGTCAGGTTATTTTGTTGTTGTTGTTGTTTTTGTTTTGTTTTGTTTTGTTTGTTTTGCCACTGTGACCAAAAGATCTGACAATAACAATTTTAAAGAAGGAAAGAGTTTTTGGGGGGTGCTCATAGTTTCAGAGGTCTCAGTCCATACGTGGCCAACTCCATTGCTCTGGGCCCAGGGTGAGGCAGCACATCATGGCAGAAGGGTGTGGCAGAGGGAAGCAGCTCAGGACATAGCACTAGGAAGGAGAGAGAGAGAGAGAGAGAGAGAGAGAGAGAGAGAGAGAGAGAGAGAGAGAGAGAGAGAAATCCCCTCACCACAAATAAAATATAAACCCCAAGGTAATGCCCCCAGTGACCCAGCTCCCCCAGCCACACCCCACCTGCCTGCAGTTACCACCTATCAGGGGATTAATGCACTGATTGGGCTAAAACTCTCATAACTCAATCATTTCATTTCTAAATTTGCTCGCATTGTCTTATACATGAGCTTTTGGGGGACACCTCATTTCTAAACCGTAACAACTGGGGATGTAGCTCTGTGACAGAGCACCCCTGTTTTCAATCTCCTTTAATTAAAAAGAAAAAGAAAGAAGAATAATACAGTTCTAAACAGAAAGCCAGAATTTTCATATCAAAAAAAGAAAAAGAAAGATTCATCTCCAGATGACTTGTACCAAAAGAAAAATCAGGCATGAATGTCACTGAATGCCTTGTAATCACTTGAGCCGTTTTATCAGTTTGGGAGACAACCAAGGTCATACAAGCTTTTGTT